GTGGTGGTGGTGGTGGTGGCGATGGTGGTAAGCAGTAGGTCCTTTTATTGGTGTTTTCATCACTTTAATGAGTACCTTGGAGGGAGCAGCCTGGTCATTTTCACAGTGGTGGTCCTGGACCCACCCCCCAACCTGCTGACAGCAGACCTGTGACTGTGGTGTAGACCATGTCAGTCATTTTCTGAGTGGTCCTTTTTTCTTAGTGGTCTGGTCCAGGCACCCGAGTGAGCATCTGCCCTCTCCGTGAGGAGCTGACCTCTTTTCTGCGAAATGTATCAGCTGCCAGCTTCAGGGGGAGCCTGGGAGGCGGCAGACTCTCTGTAGCATGTTCACCAAGTGCTGCTGTACTGTGGACTGAGTACCACAGCAGGGCCAGCTGGATACATAAAACTTCTGAACCAGCCCATTTTAAAATGTAGCATACCCCTTTAGCATTAGGACCTAAAAGGCTTTTGATTTCGCTTTATAAAGTCTTGGGAGATTTGGGAATGAAAATGAGAGTTTCCCGTCTGTACGGGTTTCTCTGATGGGCAGCAGTGGTTTTGGCGAGTTTCTTGTGGTCCAGCATCCTTCTTGGACGGGGAAAGTATCTTCCTCTCTTGACTTGCTGTAAGCCCGCAGATGACTTGGTTCACTGCCAGCCTGCCGTGCAGTGCCAAGCTCACAAGAGCTTCCTTGCTTCTTTTCCAGATGTTGTGACACCATTATCCACTCTTCTTCCACCAATACCAAATTCCATGCCCTTCAGAGGCCAGGTTAAAGGTACAAAATATACTCTCTTCGCTCTCTTTAGTACCTTAAAGTCCCCCACCCCTAGGTCAGACTTCTCTCTTCTGGATCCTGAACTCATCCGTGAAACCCAAAGTAAAGGGGGGCCTTGGAGGGTAGAGAGCTGTTGGGAGCCTCCTCCCCAGGGGCACGGGAGCCTGCCAAGTAGGCATGATGGATAGGAGAGGGCAGGCCCATGGGAGGTAGTGTCCCAGCCTTCAGGGAGGGCGGGCTCTGCACCTGGCCAGCCGTGAGCAACCTTATCCCTTTTGCTGAGAGGTGACGTGCTGTGGGGCTCACGGTACCACAGGCCAGGTGCTTCCCTGGGCACGTGCTCGTGGCCTGCACTGTCTGCATGCCTGTTTTCTGCTGAGCAAAAGTGGTTGACTCCGAGTCCACATGTGTGCGATTGGCCCCTGTGGTGAAGCTGCCCGTGCTGAGCCCGCAGGAGGTGCTGGAGGCGCTGGCACGGCATGACAGTGGCTAGAGTTACCCTGAGCATGCAGCGTGTCTTGGAAAGCAAGTTGTTGTAATTCTTTAAAATCTTTGATATTTGAAGTGTCAGTATTTCAGAAAACTTAACTTCAGCAGAAGACCTGTTTTCCATAAGAGTGTAGGAGTCAGTGCCGTCAGTCCAGAAACTCTCAGGTTTCTATATTAAAGCAATGGAGAAAAGCCTGTACACATATCCATGTATTTCAGTCCTTTAGAATTAGCCCTGATCACACACTACCCTGCCCCGTGCTCTGGTCTCTGGGTGACAGTATGACTCAGAAGCGCGGGTGGCTGGGCCGTGCTGGCCTGATGGTCCCCATCTGTGCATGAAAACTACATGAGGAGCTTTGGGCTCACACCACTGAACTCGTTCTGGAATTTAACGACAGAACCACACAGCACATGAGGTACGATTTTCACTGGAACTGCAGATTTGCATCACTGGGCGCTGCCCAGGTGAACAAAGACAGGATCCTATCTCCACGGATGTCACATGCATCTGTCAGCATCTGAAGGAGGTGCCCCAGGGTTAGATGAGTGCTGGGTTTGGGTTTCAGTGGGTCAGGTCACGTGGAAGGTTTCTGCTGCGGAGAAATCAGAAGCCAGGTCAGGCAGCATTTGCAGCTCAGGTGGGCACAGTCTATAATATGTTTCAGGAGCGGTTTTCAGTATTGCTTTTCCCAGAGACTGCCTGCCTGTTTCTTAGATATGGTACGAGGATATAGCTGATGCTGGCAGTTTCTAAATCATGTCTCCTGCTTTTTCTCAGTTGTGAGAAATTTGGATAGAAATGTTTTTGCTTCCCTGCAGTTTATAAGCTTGGTGTGAAGTTGAGGTGAATTAGTTTAAGCTTACTCCAGTAAAAGGAGAAGTTACTCTGAATATAAAAGAAAGCTTGTTGCGCTGGCAAGGGTGTGGAGATACTGGAACCCTCATGCCTGCTGTGGGAATGTAAAGGAGGCAGCTGCTTTGGAAAATGGCCTGGCTGCTCCTCAGAAAGTTAAAGACAGAGCTGCTGTGAGCCAGCTCTTCACATCTAGGTATCTGCCCAAGGAAAATGGAGTATGTGTATACGCAGAGACATGTACAGTATTCCCAGCAACGTGACTCCTGATAGCCAGAAGGAGGAAGCAGTCCCCATGTCCAGGTGGCGAATGGATGACAGAACGTAGTCTGTCCACACAAGGGAATGTTACTTGACCATAAAAGGAGTGAAGGCCTGACACGTGCTACAATCTGGACAGACCTTGAAAACATGGGAACAGTGAGACGGCAAATACGAAAGCCACGTGTGGGGGAGGCTGTGACTGTCCAGAGTAGGCAGATCCTTAGAGGAAAAAGTAGACTAGTTATTGACTAAGATGAGGGTGGAGAGTGTTAGCTATTGAGTACAGGGTTTCCTTTTGGGAGTGATCTAGAACTAGATAATGGTGATAGTTGCACAATTTTGTGAATATACTGAAAACTACTGAATTGTACACATTGGGGGTATTTTATGGTATGTATATTATTTCTTAATTAGAAATTTCTTTTGTTAAAGTTTATTTTCTATTATTTACTTATTTATTTAGAGTTGGAATCTCACTCTGTCGCCCAGGCTGGAGTTCAGGGGCACGCTTATGGCCACCATAGCCTCCACCTGCTGGGCTCAGGTGTTCCTTCCACCTCAGCCTTCTAAGTAGGTGGAACCATGGGCGCATGCCACCATGTCTGGTTAATCTTCTGATTTATTGTAGAGATGAGGTCTCACCCTGTTGCCCAGGCTAGTCTTGAATTCCTGCGTTTGGGCAGTCATCTTGTCTCTGCCTCCCAAAGTGCTGGGATTATAGGAATGAGTCACTGCACTGGGCCTTTATTTATTTATTTATAAAAATATTAAGATAGACTTTTACTATGTTACCCAGGCTTGTCTCAAAATCCTGACCTCAAGTGATCTTACCGTAACCTTGGCCTTCCAAAGTGCTAGGATTACAGATGTGAGCCACCCCATTCAGCTTAGCTTTATTTTCTGTGGCAAGTTGTAGCCACTGGGCACATTGATAATTGTGACCATTGGCAACAAAGTATACTAGGAATACAACTTATAAATACCTTAAAGCATTGCTACTTTGTATGTAATCACCAGCACTATTGCTAAAATTGTGTATGGTATGTTTTAGCCTGTCCTGTATCTGTTGATTCTTCAGGACACAAAGTTCTATCTACAAAGGAATAAATAGCATTTTCTTTAAACTGTGTCCTACTTTGGGTTTCTGACTTATTCTTCTGTGAACAAGCAGCCAGCCCATTCTGTGGGCCAGACTTCCTTGTCTCTGCTCCTAATTTTTTTGTTTTGTTTTGTTTTGAGTCAGAGTCTCACTCTGTCGCCCAGGCTGGAGTACAGTGGCACACTCACAGCCACCACAGACTTGACCTGCTGGGCTCGGGCAGTCCTTCTGCTGCAGCCTTCCAAGTAGCTGGAAGTACAGGCATGTGTCACCTCACCTAGCTGATTTTTTAATTTATTGTAGAAACAAGATCTTGCCACGATGCCCTGACTGGTCTTGAACCCATGGACTTAGACAGTCCTCTTGCCTCTGCCTCCTAAAGTGCTGAGATGACAGGCATGAGCCACCATGCCTGGTTTTGCTCTCAATTCTTTAAAATATTGTGGTGAAATAAATATGATATAAAATTTACTATGCTGACTTTTTTTTAATTTTGCAGAGACAAGGTTTCGCTGTGTTGCTTAGGCTGGTCTCAAACTCTTGAGCTCAAGCCACAACCCCACCCCCCACCCCCCCACTTGAGCCTCCCAGAGTGCTGGGATTATAAGTGTGAGCCTCCATGCTGGCAGCTCCTGACCATTTTAAGTATTCAGTTTAGTGTTTTTTGTTTTGTTTTGTTTTGAGTTGGAGTCTCACTCTGTCGCCCAGACTGGAGTGCAGTGGCTGCTCCTGGCCACCGCAGCCTCGACCTGCTGGGCTCCGTCGATCCTTCCGCCTCAGCCTTCTGAGTAGCTGGAATTACAGGCACGCACTACCACGCCCAGCTGATTTTTTTATTTATTGTAGAGAGGGAGGTCTCGCTGCCCAGGCGGGTCTTGAACCCACGGACTCAGGCAATCCACTCACCTCAGCCTCCCAAAGGCGTGGGATTACAGGATGAGCCACCGAGCCCGGCAAGTTTAGTGTTATCATAAGTACATTCATGTTACTGTGTAGCTACCACTAGAAATTTTTCAACTTGCACAGCTGAAACTCTGTGCCCATTAAACAATTTCTCCTCTCTGTTACCCTGCCCCGCCCTGGCACTCCCCATTGTGCTGTCACTGTGAGTCCTGGCTCCTCTAGGCCTCTCCTGAGGGGAGCGGGAGCGTGCAGTGTTGATCCCCGTGTGATGCTTGTGTCATTCTGCATGATGTCCTCCAGGTTCCCGCATCGTCAGGATGCCCTTCCTTTTTTAAGATGAAGCAGTATTCCACTGTGTAGCGAGACCCTCTGGTGTGTACCTGTGCATCCTGGATGGGTGTGGGGGCATCTGCTTTGGTTGCGGTGGATGGTGCTACAGTGATTGTGGTGCACAGATATCTCCTCGTGGCCATTCCTCTGGTGCTTTGCACACGGCCAGTAGAATTGCTGGCGCAGGGTCATTCTGTGTTTAATTTTTCAAGGAACCACCAAACATTTCCGCGTAGCAGCACCATTTCACATTCTCATCAGCGGTGCACCGGGTCCTGGCATCTCCCATCCCTGCTGATACCTGTTTCTATCTTTGTGAATGTCGCCATCCACTGGTGTGTGGTGGGCTCTCGTTGTGGTTTTGCCTTGCATTTCCTTCGTGAGTCACGATGTTGGGCGTCTTTCTGTGTGCTTCATGCAGATCTTCCTCGGAGAAATGTCTTTTTCTCTTTTTGAATCCCTGTGTTCCTTTTTGTGTTTAAAGCAGCAGGTTTTAGTGTGGTCTGTGGACCCTGGGGTCCTCAAAAACCTTTCAGGGGCCTCTAAGGTCAGAACTATTTTCCTAATAAAACTGTACTAGGCCTGGTATGGTGGTTCATACCTGTAATTCCAGCACTTTGGGAGGCCAGGGTGGGAGAATTATTTGAGTCCTGGAGTTCAAGACCAGCCTGGGCAACATAGTGAGACCCTGTCTGTCTCTACAAAAAACGAAAAAATTAGCCAGGCATGCTGGCACATTGCCTGTAGTCCTAGCTACTCGGGAGGCTGAGGCAGAAGGATTGCCTGAGCCCAGGAGATTGGCTGCAGTGAGGCGTGATTGTGCTACTAAATTCTAGCCTGAACCACAGAGTGAGACCCTGACTCAAAACAAAAGGTACTAATAGTCAGGTATTCACTGTGCACACATATTTTTAAATGCCAGTTTTGCTTAATGATGTTTGTGCTATTGTAGTAAGAATTATCATTTAATTACATCCTACACTTGAGTGCAGGTCTTTTTTTTTAAAAAAAAAAAAAAAAGGGCTGGGTATGGTGGCTCAAGCCCGTAATCCCAGCACT